GTTTTTCAGACATTTTTTATGCCTTACTATACTATGCTGTTTTATATAATTGTATGCCTTAGCTGTATACTTATGACGGTTTTTCTGATCATTTTTCATGTCAGCTCTACTAACTAGGTGTGATGACGTTTTAAGGACACATCTTTTATGCCCTCACTATACCTATTGTACAGTTTTCTTTCGAAGCATTCTTATGCCATTAACCTATACGTGGACGGTTTTTTGACATTTTAATCTACTTAACATGATCACCTCATGACGTTTATTGACATTTAGAAACCTTACCCTAGTACTACGACCTATTTATGCTTACTCCATACTATGACGTTTTATGATCGATCTTCTACTGGCGCTTACTTAGCTACTATGCACAATTTTTATGACATTTGTATGCCCTCTTACTATCTACTGTGAAGTGTGAGCTCCTTTTCTGACATTTATATGCCTACTCTACCTCTCATAACATACTAATGACTATGTTCCTGTCATTTTATCGATATAATTTATGCGATAACTTAGCCGTATACAGTATGACGTTTTTTATGCCATCTCATCTCATTACCGTATGCACTTTATTTTTGACATTTTTTATGCCTTACATAGAAATTATGACGTTTTTTAGACATTTTTAATGCCTTACTATACTATGCACTTATTAAGCCTTCCACATATACTATGACTTTTTGACATTTTTATTACATACGTATACTGGTGACGTTTTTTGACATTTCCCTTATGCCCTTACTATACTAAGACATGTTCAAGCCTTACTATACTGTGATGTTTTTTTACGTCTTACTATACTAAGACGTTTTTATGATATTTTATGCCTTACTATACTATGATGTATTTATTCCTTACTGTACTATATGTTCAAGCCTTACTATACTGACGTTTTTTGAACTTCTTTTGACTTACTATACTACAATGTTTTTATGCCTTACTATACTATGACGTTTTTATGACATATATTATGTCTTACTATACTATAATGTATTTATTCCTTACTATACTGATGTGTTGAAGCCTTACTATACTATGACGTTTTTTGACCTTTTCATGCCTTACTATACTGTGACGTCTTTGACATTTTATTCCTCACTATACTATGATGTTTTTATGCCTTACTGTACTGTGACGTTTTTATGACATTTTATGTCTTACTATACTATGAAGTTTTTATAATGTACTATACTATGACATTTTGATGATTTACTACACAATGACATTTCAATGACATTGTTACGTTACCTGTTAAAGCTCAGGGATGTGGGGAATTAAAATGGAATAAAATAAGTGAAACAGTCAAACCAAAAAGACTCGGGGAAACAGATTTAGAAGAAACATTGGATTTTATTCACAAACAAGTAAAAACAACAACGAAAAGCTGACATTGGGAAACTAAAACTGCAGCAAAACTAAGATAACCCAAATTAACAACATTCACAAGTTAAGAATGTCGCTAGGCTTCAACACTAAATCTCTGAGCAGCTGTCTTTGGGAAAACAGTCACATAGCTTGTCAACAGCCGAATGGCACACTCTGGCTCTGACCAGGCCTCCTCACTCCGCCTTTGTGCTCCAGCTCCTGATTGAGAAACCAGGAGCAGCCAGGCCAAGTCACCTGCTAGAGAAAAGGGGAGGGCAGAGGGACATGCTCCCGCAACACAACACTACAGCATGTAACAGAAATACCATACTATACTATGACACTTTTATGACTTCCTATAGTATGTTGTTTTTTTTACAACATACTATACTTTGACATTTTTATGATATACTCCATGACGTTTTTGTCTTACTATACTGTCATTTTTATGGCATACTATACTATGACGTCTTTGTCTTATTATACTATGATATTTTCATGACATACTATAGTATGATGTTTTTATGTCTTACTATACTATGACATTTTTCTGACTTTTTCTGATTTATTTTACTGTGACATCTTTGTCTTACTATACTGACATATTTATGACTTACTATACTATGATGTTTTCTATGACATTGACGTCTTACTATATACTATGTTGTTTTTATTTCTTACTATACTATGTCAGTTTTATGACATAATATACTATGGCTGGACTGTAATATTGGGGCCAGCCCTATAAATGCGAATTTCCCTGATCAGCCTGTGGCCCTTTTGCTGCCTGTCATCCTTTCTCTCTCTCTCTCTCTCCAATCTTCCTGTCTCTTTCTTACTATAGTTGTAATTTAGACAAAAGCCTGAAAAAATATCTGAAAAAAAAATTAAGATAGTCTGTCTCTCTTCATCTCTGAGTGTTTATGAGTAAACAAACAGCTCAGTCTTTGTCTTTCATTTATGTGTTTGGTGATGACGTCGCAGTTATAACATCAGGATTTGACCATAGGCAGTCCAGCAACATAGTAGGTTTTAACCTAGTCTTGTTTCATCACGAAAAGCTCAACATTTGTTTGTTCAGAGAATATGTGTTTGCTTTGAGGAAAGCCAAGTGGGCTGAGGATGTACAAGACTGAACCAAATACTATGTACATTTAGGATTATAAAAAAAAAATTAATATGGAACTGAGAATTTTATGTTAATTTATCTGAAAAGCAAAGATCTTTGTGTGTTCAGTCAAGATTAGGTATTTTAGCACTTGCTGTTGGAACTGGACAGAAGAAAAGCAGATTTGTTCCGCCTGAATGATAAAGTTTCCTATTGTCCTTGTTATTGGGAACGATGCAACACTTTGTTGATAAGCAAAGATAAAAACAGATATTGATGCTGTAAATATAGATGATAGTACTGAGCTGAAACATTTAACAGTTACTCTGAACACAAGGTAATGTCTCCTAGTAAAGACTAGGAGACATTACCTTGTGTTCAGAAACAGTGAGACAGTGAATTAAGTCAATTTAAACAGCTGGAAAAATGGAGGCATTCTAAAACATCTGACCCATAGTGTCTATATAATGTGTATGTATGCAAAAATATACAGACATACTTTTCTTGCTGCATACTGTATTTATTTTCTCCCATCTACATATACATATCTTGCTCATATGCATAAGTGCTGAGATATACACCAGTGTATAAAAATACTCAACTCTCTCATACACTGGATTCACAGGAGGCCTCTCCTCCAGACGTCCCATTAACCTCTCACTCTTGAGGGTTTATAGAGCTGCACTGGGATTATCTCATCTGTAGGATGTAGTGATACTCCTGTTTTTTGAGGGTTTTTTTTCTCCGTTCTTCTTTTTTAAACTCTCCATAAATCTCCTGCAGGCATAATGTTGTCTGGGAAAAGAGTGATTGGGTCAGGGAGGTTAGGTCTTAAATTTTGACCACCCTCAAATAACAAAAACTCCACCGCCTCCCTGGAGTTTGGTCTTTTGGAAAAAGTTTTGTGGATTACAGGATGAAGGCTTCCAGCTCCGAATCCACCAGGACCTCATGCCTTTTTCTGCAGCCAGAGACACCACAGCTGTCCTAGTCTGTGGATACTGTGATCACATGCTGCTCCGGGGCTCCACTAAACCAGAAATGATGTGAACTTGATATGATTAATAGACATCAATGGATTTGCAAACCCTCGCTTGTCAGTAACAGGGTGAATAAAGGATTCCTAGTGTTGTTTGTAAGGAGCATGAAAGCTTGACTTGCTGTTTCCTGTGTCACGGCTTTTGTTCGAGCAGACATCTGTCTTTTACTGTAAAATGATGTGATCACTCTGAGAAAATGCTGGAACCTTGTCTGGCTTCCAACACTCAAGAGGTTCAGACTGGAGGAAATAGTTTTTCCTCCTTCACCTCTGAACAGACGCCAGCCGTCCTTTATGTGAATTTCATGACACAATATAGTGATGATGGATTAAAAAACCATTCAGCACTGACAGATTTCATTGAACATGCTGGATTTTCATACAGTGATGTTGTGTCTTTGATTCAGGTTTATCTCTAAACTTCAGGTCCCTCAGGTTTTGTGACCTGACTTTTCTTGTCCATTCAAGCCAAACAGATATTATATATATCGCATTGTATTATTGCAGATACAATAATAAGTGCATGGTTATGATTGATATAACAAGAAATTGCAGTACAGAAATACTGAAGAATTGTTTTGTAAGTAATTCAGGAAGTGTAAAATGTGCCTCCTAATTTATCTAGTTTAGTCCAAACTTAAGGGTTTTTATATGATGCATGTTAATGTGAAAACACTCTCTGCAGGTGTGTTGTTATATCAGATTTAAAAAAAAAAAAAAGAAAAAATATCAATATTGGTGAGGCTTAGTGCTCTACATTTAGGAAAATCACCCCAAAATAATGCTGAAAACTTTAATATTTTTAAAGTCACTATATACAATTTTCAAATTGGTGGCTTTAATCACATTGTTTCAACAATTGAAGCAATCCGCTTCCTTTTTTAACTTAATTCTGTTTGTTTATATACATTTTTCATAGTAGTGGTTTGTTTTTTCGATGTATTTATATTATTGATACTACCACAAGGGGGTACCAAAGCTGGAAATTTTCAAATCCTACACATGGTGGCTTTAATGTTCTGCTTTCAGTTCTGAGTTAGTCTAATTGTAGTTTAGTTTTTAAAATATGACAAAACCTGGTCATTGTAATATCTCCCTCAACAAATTCAATTTCCTAATGAAGTGTCCTTAAATTTAGTCTGTAACTCAACACAAAGAGCTACTTTCATTGCTTGTCATAGTAGTAAGTGTTTTTTATTCTTAGGTTTTAATATATTTTTGTATGCTCTTTTAAAGTACTTTTTTTTCCATTAAAGAGTATAATAAACCACTTATTAAATAGTATATATTATACTGCTTATATATTCTAAATTAGGGGACTTAAAGTTATCAAAAAAGTGTAAGTGAAGCTTTTTTGTTGTTTTTGTAAATTTTGTTCAAGGCATGTCGCCTGACAGTTTATCTCATTTTGATAAGTAACTGCTTTAAATTACTACAACCGCTTGTTTTTCATTGTAACACCTTCCCCTTTCTTTATTTTTCCAGAACCATGACCACGGCTGCATCGCCTGTCGTATCATCTACCGCTCTGACGAGTTCCACCCTCCCATCCTGCCGCCGCGGGCCGACCTGACTGTGGGGTTGTACGGTCAGTGGGTGAGCCAGCGCTGCGAAGTCCGCCCTGAGGTCCTCTTCCTCACCCGCCACTTCATCTTCCATGACAACAACCACACCTGGGAGGGCCACTACTACCACTACTCTGACCCCGTCTGTAGACACCCCACTTTCACCATCTACGCCCGTGGACGCTACAGCCGAGGGCTTCACTCCACTCGAGTAATGGGCGGGACAGACTTTGTCTTCAAAGGTAACTGAGTGATATTCTCTCATCCTACAACTCTCATCTTTTAAGTTAAATACAAACAACTCTCAGAAGAGACCACATTTATAGTGACTGTAACATTTAATTTTTTATGTTTCACTCCACTCCCTAAATTATTTTCTCCAATTATCCTCAATTTATGGATACAAATACTTGTATCCTTAACATCAGCTTATGACTTTCACTTTTGGTGCAGTTTGAAAACAACTTTGGTGCATTTGTGTTTCAGCTTTCAGTTTGTTTTATGGTTCTAACAGAAGAGTATTAAGACCAGTCTGCTCTCCAGCTAAACATCATCCATTAACCCCATTATATTGCAGCTATATTGTTCCCTCAATTATTTGATCAGCGCTCATAACAAGCCATTTCTGCTGATACTGTTCTGCTCTGTTCAGTAAATATGAGGCCACAGCCAGGAGATGGTTAACTTCCCATAAAGACTGGAAGCAGGGGGAAACAGCTAGCCTGGCTCAGCCCACAGACAACTAAATCTGTACGATTACATCTGAATTAAGCAAACAAGATATAATCAGTTAAATAGTGAGCTCTAGAGCTGCTGGTAGGTGGATGTTGTCACCTTCAGACAGATCCAGTCTAGCTGTTTCCCCTGTTTCTAGTCTTTGTGATAAGATTAGTTAACCGCCTGGCTGTAGCTTCATATTCACTGTACAAACATGAGAGAAAATGTCAAAATAGATGGTTACAAAAACTGTCACCTTAACGAGTTCATTGTCAGTTCAGGTGACTTATTTTACGAGGCTTAGTTACAGAGAACCTTAACCTATAGCCTAAAACTAAAAGACAAAAACTACCAACTCACAGCCTTATTCTACTGTTAGACTAATTTAAATTTATTAGCTGAAGCCTGACTGGAATATCCCAGTAAATTTGGTCATTGTGTATATTTATTTTGATAGTATTGTACTCACTAATTAATTATTGAGATGTGGGACCTTGTCAACATCACTAAGAAGAAGTGCAAGGAATAGGAGCAGTCAGACGATCATACGGGTTTTATTCAGACTTCTAGGGAAAACAAAGGTTGTAATGTCCACCATAGTAACAGACAGATGTTCTGGTTCAACTTTTGACCTACTCTTACTGTAGTTTGCATTTGATTTGAGGGATCATTTAAGTTTAAATAAAGATTTTGGCTGAAACTGTTCGTCTGACCGCTTGTATTTCTTCTCCAATGTTGTGTTCCCAAATCTCTGCATTTAACTCGGTGAATATGATGTTTCATAATCAATAGAAACAAAGGCCAAAACTCAAGTTGTAACAACAAGCAGAGAAAGAATGGGCCTCATGCAAGAACATCTTCAGATTCTTACACTGAACTTCTCTCACTGTCAAAGTCTCCAACTCACCAAATACCACCTGTTCATGAGCAGGTGTGCACCTGTGATGTTACATCATTAGCATAAGCATCGCCCCTAACATTGCCTTTTGTTGATAAGTTTGATTCACAAAAGTCATACAGGGGGTAAAAGAAAATTTCCCACCACAGAGCTTCAAGTCCTTTTGTCAGCAGAAACAAAGACAGCAGGTTTGACACAGTCAGTGGCTGTTTTACTAAAACAACGGACCACTTCAGGACATCTGTTCATACGAGTGGTTTGCATGAGGCCCATTGTCTCGTCCAGTTTAAAGTTTAGAGTGAGTCTCAGGGTGTCTGCACCTGTGAGTGTTCCTCTGAGCACAACATCACCAACAGGTCTTCTTCTGTCCTCCTTCCTCTAGTGAACCACATGAGGGTGACGCCCATGGACTTGGCCACCACCTCCCTCCTCAACGTCTTCAACGGTAACGAGTGTGGAGCGCAGGGGTCCTGGCAGGTTGGGGTGGAGCAGGATGTCACCATAACAAACGGCTGCGTGGCGCTGGGCATCCGGCTCCCCCACACAGAGTACGAGCTCTTCCGCATGGAGCAGGACGCCCACGGCCGCTACCTGCTCTACAATGGCCAGCGTCCCAGCGACGGCTCCAGCCCGGACGGGCCAGAGAAGCGGGCCACTTCTTACCAGATGCCGCTGGTCCAGTGCTCGGCAAGCAGCCAGTCGTCCGACTACAGCCAAGGGGACGACAGCTACAGGCCTCTGCTGCACCACAATGACTGCACAGGGTGGCACAGAGGCAGCGAGAAACACGTCACTGTGGCTTTGGTTGCGTTCGTCATGTCTGCGCTCCTTTTCTGGCAAAGCTAGAGAGCTGTTTGAGCTTTTTCTACAGAAAGACACAAAACAAGAGTGTGGATTACAAGAGCAGACTGGGAGACTGCTTTTTTTTAAAACATATGTAAACTTTTAACTTTCCTTCTTTGATGAGAATGAGGATGAAAACTGGTGCCCCTGATCCTCTGAACTCCTCCCCAGCTACCAAAGACTCAACACTGCTGCACCACAGAAACTGCACTTTACAGTGGAACCAAAGACCGACTAGTCTGTGTTTCCACAAATATAAAAAGATGTCTATATATCCACACAGACCTATGTTTTATACAGTGTATTTACCAACAACTGTCATGTTGTTTCTTGGTTTGGTACTACAAAAAAGAAAACTATTTGATGCGTGGAAAGGTTTTCTACATTGAACTCTCTGACAATAAGCTCCTTGTCTCGAGGACATATGCTTGTGAGTCACTGTTTACAGTAAAAAAAGGAACCACCGTACTTATATTAAAGCAATTTGTTTAAATATAGCCTGAACTCAGCAGCAGTTTTCTGTCATCTATTCCACATAAAGGTCATACTGTTATTTTGGACACAATAAAATTCTTTCATCTCCTTCTCATAGCTGCATCTTCACTGGTCGAAACACTCATTTCCACCGGGGCTATTTTAAAATGATATTCTACTGTACCTGGAAAGTTGCATATGAACTAGAGTTCCTCAACAACTGAAGAATTGACTGTAAAATTTGAGTAACATATCACCTTCAATTCAATCGACTGGGGAACAAAATATTAATGAGAATAATTATCCGATATCAGTGTGGTAAATGCACCACATGAAATAATCAAATATAAAAAATTATGCTCTACTTTTACATGTGGAAAAATATGTTAAATTACAATTTGTTTGGAATCACTGGAGTAACAGCAGAATTTTGCAATACAATACTACAATATGATTCCACTACATTACATCGCTGGAAACTATTGAATTATCTAGTCTTACAAGCAACCCAGAGCTGTTACACGGTTGAAATATATCAAAGTGACGCTTTGTTTTCATAAATCTTGAAAAGATTTTATGAAAATGCAGCACTTTGTGCGCATTAACTGTTTGGTTAGTTTGGCCTAGCTCCATGATTAAAATTGACATGCTATCATCATAAACAAAACTGACAGTACATGCACATTACAGAAAAAAACAAACATGCAGGAATACAACTGTACTAACAGGAAATTACACAAAGGTTGAATGATTGAGTGACATATCAGAACTCAACCTGCTGCCACTTTCATAAGTAAAATCATAAACTTGTCATTTTATTTTTCTTGTTCCCTTGATAATTTGAGCAGAACTATTCATCAACATCTGACTTTACTTCACTCTTTTCTTTAAATACTGTAGGTCCTCCACTTATGTTACGATTTACAGTATAGGATAGTCATGCCTGTGGCAATCTTGAAGATTTTTACTTTAAGTCACTGTTGCCGAATAAGGTCACACAATGGTGACAGAGCCTTTGATCCACTGATGAAGTCCCTGCACTTTACAGCTTTATGAACTGGGTGTCTGGTGTGACTCACGTGCAAAATCACAAGGAACATGAGTCACTGACACAAAGTTAGTGATTTGTGTGGTTCAAGAACAAACCTGCGATTACCATGTATCGCCATAGGTGCCGCCAAAGATAACAAAACAGAGATCTTGGAGATTGCCACTTTGCGCAGAAGGTCATTAAGACACAGACAGCTGAAGTTATGATTTGTCAAACTTCAGTAATTTCTCAAAACTGAACAATTCCTTCAATAGTTTCACCACAGGGAACTTGTATGAATAAGTGGATTGGATTTGTGTAATCAGTATGAAATTGGCACAACAGGTGGATTCTGGTAATTAAGAATAGAAGCCACATATTACCTGTCCAGATGTTCAGATGTCCAGATGTGTGGCTCCCTGAATCCCTGAGTCTTACAGTGAGGAATCTGACAGGAAATAAGAATATATTTAATGCTTTTTGCTCCTCCAGGTGGTTTCTGAATTTGAGAGCAGAAATAAATTCATAATACCTCCACTGGGAATAAGGTCATCAGTTTGTGGTACAGGATCAGCACCCATCAGTTCCCCAGTGGGATCACAGAGGTCGCAGGGATGTCCTCAGTCTGAAGAAGTCGTCACCAGCACCTGTTTGGGAACTTCTAGCTCACAAAAACTTTCACAGCTGTGTTCAACAGAGAGCGGACAAACAGGCCACCACATCATATTCTATTCCTGCAATGGAAAAACACTAAGTGACAGTACTTACTTAGGGCCAGTTTGTTCACTGTACCCAGACTTAACCCCTATCAGCTCCAAGAAATGTCTTTGTAACTGGATACATGTGGAAGATTAAAAATTTGATGCTTTTCAGTGTTGATCTGTTATTACATTCCTGTTCTTATAGACATAGTAGATTTTGTATACTGTACAAACTGAACATTCAACAGAGAACATGTTTTTGTTAATCCCTTTATAAGATTTTATGATGCCCGATAGAGCATTAAAAACGCCTCGTTTTTCAAGCATTTGGGGAGCAGATAGTAGTAGTACGAGGGAGTTACACATGAAGTCTGCCAAGAACAACCATCCCTGTGCTGGAGGCCACTGTGTAGCTCTACAGGAGCAGCTGAAGGCGAAGCCTGCCTTTATACTGCTAACACCTTTAGATATCATCATTTTGTTGTGTTCAGTGCAATTCAGGAGTTCCAAATGATGTTCCTTCAAGCAGCTGCATCTACTTAATTTACTGATTCATCACTTTTATTTCCTCTGACATCCTGCTGAGGTTACTATTGGTGGATAAATTTAGATCTGCCTGTTGCGATTATTAGCACACAAACTATAAAATAAAAAGACAATCGGATAAAAAATATTGGGCAAACAAAGAGCTGCGCGGGAGAAGACAGAAACCCAGGTGGGTTTATATGCATCCTAGTAAGGCTACTGAAAATCCAATCAACAAACAGAAAAGCGAGCGAAAATAAATCCGTTTGGAGGCAACAAAAGCGCGAGCGGAGGCAGTTAGCAGAGTGGGATTGAGGATTTCTGATGCACAATGGTGGCACATGGCATCAGAAATCTCTGTTAATGGAAGACTGATACCAAAACATAATATTTTTCTTATATTTACCACCTAAATCTACTGCAGCTGTGAGCCGTTTACCTTAAAAGGACAAAACAACATGAAATAGTGTCCCATATCCATATTAAGACATACATACATACTCTAAGCAGGTTTTCAGCATGTGGCATGGTCACACTGCTAAACGCTGTATACTCATAACAGAGAGAACGCTTACTGAATTGTTGTGGTTTCACGCTAATTCAAACTCAAAATCTCAAAAATGTTGGCGGCTCACATCCGACCCCGTAACAATAAGGAGGCTGAACATTACGTTCTCAGAGGACTTTTTGTTTTTATGATAACAATTGAACATTCAGGATTAAACTGTAAGCAGGGGAAGCTCAATTTTTCTTTTTTGTTTGACGTGGGGAGAGATCACCTGTCGATTCACCATCTGTCTGTCTCTTTTTTTCTAATTACATCTTTTCACCAAAATTGTACTGTTTTGCAAATCGGCCCACTTTCAATACTTTACTTACACCAACCTCAGAAGCAGAATACTAAGACAGTATAGTATGGACTTTGGGTGTGCCAAAAGTCTGGCCAGTTATTCACAGGAAATAACAAAAAAAAAGTATATAAATGAAGCAACTTCCACCAATAACAGCACCAAGAAAATGATTTTTCTCCCCCTTTCAAAATGCTCCACACTCAAAGTTTTGGCGCTCAGCTCATATTTAACGTGTCTATTCAGTAAATGATTACTACTAGAACTGACCAATATTAGAGTTGATGAGGTCAAAATTAGAAAAGTATAAAAATATAATAGAAATATATGAACCATCATTGGAGATAATCTAGTATCCTGAGTTAAATATATATGTATATATATGTATTTGCCTGACAGCAATAACATAAAGTCACAGGAAGGCATATAATATGTAATTCTCGCGCTCTTTACTGCCAAGTCAAAAAAACATTGAAAAAAAAAAAAAATTCCCATGCAACCCTGTTCTCCGGGAGTCAGTATGAATCATATAACTTTATGCTTTAATAAAATGATTGTAGGCTTCGCTTTTGGGGAAAATCAAGCATGTTGTAAAGAAGGTTCTGTATTTTACCCATCAGGGAGTAATGAGTTAATTTTAGGGCCAAATGACCACAGCAGATTTCGTCATCCACAATGCCATAATGTACCAAAACCGTATGAAATTACCTCGGAGGAACAAGCTCAGAAATTCAAAGTTACAGCTCCTGTGCAAGATCAAATCATTTAAACGCATAAAAATCCCTTCCCTTCCTAAGTTTAATCAGGTAGCGTCCAGACTAGATCCTAACTTCTACCTTAAATTCATCTTGTCGATGAAAAAACAGCATGTAAAATAACACTGCAACAAAGAGAATTAACTTCATTTCAAGCTCATAAAAAAGCAGATGTCTGAGGTTCAGACGCATTTTTTTTTTTTACTTTTGTGACTCTTGGCAACTTATAACTGAAAGCCAAATAATCATAACTGAAATGTCAAGTGTATTTAAAACACATGGTTAGCTCATATTGTACTAAGGAAGAAAAAAAAAAAAAAAACTATCCACTACAAATTCTGGCAGCCAGACTGATGGGGAAACGTGGCACACAATCACAGTGCACTTATTTTATGGCACGATGTAATGAATTTTTGAGGTGTATCATTGAAGAGAGACACAGGAAAAGACGGCTATCAAAACCACATTTTTTCATTTTTATTTTTTCAATGCTTAATACCATGGGACAGGATTTTAAGAATGGAGACCTTTTTTCAGTCAATATTTGCCTCAGAAGGAATATATGCTTTGTATAATAATAATAATAATAATAATAATAATAATAATAATAATAATATAATATAAAGTCTGCATTGGTGTTGTGAAGAAAAGGAAAGGATAGAAATGTACA